GGGTGCCGGCGCGTTCGCTAGTTGGAAGTTAGGGCCGCCGCGCGCCCCGCAGGTCTCCTGCCACCGCCGCGACCCCGCAGCCGGCTTGCAGCCTCAGTGGGCCCCGCCCGCACGTAGCCCCGCAGCCGCCGCGGCCAAAGACCCCGGTGCGGCCGCCATCTTTGTTTTCGCTGCGCTCCCCCCTCCCGCACCACCGCCCCCTCGTCATCCCCATCACGTGGGTCCCACGCAGGGCCAATGGGAGTGTCTCCTAGGACTAGACGGGGCGACAGCTAGAGCCTACAGACATGCGAGAGCTCCTGAGCGCCCGCCTCCCGCAAAAGGTGGCAGGAGGGGGCGGGGCCCTGGAGGCTAGTTCAGGGGTGTACTTCTGGGTGCGTCTACGGTGGTATCCACTTTGAGAGTCAACAGACGGACTGAGGACCCTCACAAACTAAATCTGGGTGTGCCTACGTCACTGTCCCCTGAGACTCGCGCTCCTGGTTCGGGCCTGACTAGAGTGGAACAGCACGAACTTGAAAGACCCCGCCCACCACCCGGCTCAGTGTTGTGCAGGACCGGATGTGCAGACACAGGATGCGAGCAGAGTCTGCGTTGAGAAGGATGCGTTCCAGATCCCTCACCTACTGTTGTGTCCATTGCTCTTTTCTGTCCTTGGCTTTGGAAGCAGAAGAGGTGTTCATTTAGGAAAGCGAGGTTCTTAGGGACTAGGGCTTGGCTGCTACAGGCAGAGGGGCAAGCAGGTAGTGTAACTGAATCAGGCCAGGGAAGGAATGTGTTTCTGGGAAACTGCCCTTACCAACACAGCCGTCAGCCCATGAGGGCCACTATCCTGGAAAGCCACCTACCGGGCTGGACAAGGATATCTGAAAATCCACCGTGTCCCACAACAGCAAGAGCCTGGGACCATGTCTTCTCAACAGAAGGGTCCTCCTGGCAAAGGTGCCAGAAAGAGGCCAAGTGGAATGAGGCCTGTGCTCATGTCAGCACATCAGCTGTGTTGGCTCACAGAAATCAACTGCTATCCAGGAAGCTCTCTGAAGGTCCCTCAGTCCTTCTCAAGAACAGGCAGCTCTCATTTTCCTGCAGAATTTCTAAGGTTTATTAGAGATCTAGACACACAACTGTGTCCTACCCAGAAAGATCCCAAATGTGCCTGTGACCTTGTCCCTTTCATTCTGGTCTAGGCAATCTCTACATATGATCAGAGAAGGGACAGTTCCCAAGCTCTTCTCCTGACCAGCAACCCTGCAGCAGGACCACTTATGTTAAAAAAAAAAAAAAAAAAAGCAAGCCTGTTTTTAGGTGGGGAATGCCCAGGAGGGAGCAAGCAGTTGACAAGGGAGATATAACCAGAGCAGAGCCTATTTTTTTGTGTCTCCTGTCATTCCCACTGCAGGCGCTGTGTGTGCAAGGCCCAGCAGTAGGCCCAACTGCCTGCAGCCAGGGCCCAGCGACAGATGTCCTCCCTGGGCAACAGTAGCAGCCTATCCTCCTCCAGCCGGCTCATGAGGCCTGCAGCCCCCAGCATGGTACCCCCCCACATCCCGTAAGTGTTGCCTGTGAAAACAGCCACAATGAGGATGGTCACTGCAACCACTAACAGCACTGCCTGACCAGCCACCGAACAGCCTTCGGGGCCAAGATGGTCACCAGCCACTGCTAGGACCATGCCTCCTCCCAGAAGCAGGTTGGCAGAGGAACGGTCTCCATTCACCCAGTGGAAATCGAAGGCCAGAAGGGGCAGACCGATGACTGTGGCCACCCAGGCTCCAGCAAGACAGTCTTCATGTGTGCCCAGCCCTGGGACCAGTGTGGTGGCAGCAGCCAAGGCCTGGAGCAGGAAGCCAGCAGCAGCTCCTCGACTTGACTGTCAACACAGGGAAGTGAAGACATGTGGGAAAAAAAGAGGCCAAGGCCTCACCTTCAGAAAGGAAAGGGTTTGTGCTCTCACGGAGACCTGGCCCCAGACACACCTCCCACCACCATCTGCCTAATGCAAGAACTAGATCCTTAGGGTGTGGGGGTGGGGATACTCACTTGCACGGAGCTCACCGCTGCATACAGAGACACCACTCCAAGAGCAAGGTGGGACAAGACAGTGCTCCACTCAGCCCCAGGCTTGGGGGCCATGACGCCTCCAGCAGGATTGAATTTGAGGAGATGGGATGGGGAGCTTCAACTTGGGAGAGAAAAAAAAGCCATGACCTGGAGCCTTAAAGCCAATTTTGCAGAAAATCCCAGGTAACAGGGCCCCAGGGTTGGACATTCGGATGGGCTCAGTCCTAAACTTTCCAGAACCCTGAGTCCGCTGGACATACCTGTGGAGAGGAAGGACTAATTCAGCTGGCAAAGACAGGGAAGCGCAGTTTGTGGTGTGGGCTGGGCGGGCATGAGCTTAAATGGGGCATCAGGCGCAGGAGATGGAACACAGACCCTCTTGGAGGCCTGTGGGTCTCAGCAACAAGGAGGCGCAGTCCTCGACGCCCGGTCCGGAGGAGTGACGGCGCAGGCCTGCCGGGGGCCGCAACCCCAACACCGTAGTTACCCACCGCCGTCGTCAGCAGCTACCCCTAGGCCGCCTTCTGCAGCCAGGACGAGTGCGGCCTGGCGTGGCCACCAGCGAGAGAAGCAGAGGCTAGAGTGGCCTGGGCGGGGCCTGGGGAGGCGGGTGGGAGGCTAGTGGGAGGCTCTAGGAAGGAGTGGGGTTTGATGAGATCCAGTCGTGGCCAGCAGAAAGGGCTTGGTACTGGCGGGCGAGCTGGACCCTGGGACCTTGAAGGACTTGGGTGGAGGGAGGTCTGAGCCGGTCTCTAGGCAAGGCGGGGCTTCGAGGAAGGGGTGGCGCTCCTGGTTGTGGGCGTGGCTACAACGGTAGAGGGGCGGGGCTTCCTAGAGAGCTGGGCTACGAGGGGGCGGAGTCTTTGTGCACCTGTGCCCCCGAGGCTCTCTAACGTGGAGTGGTGGGAGGTCTCCGTGGAGGACGCGAAAGGTTCCGGTGGAGGTGGAGGTGCGGCGGCTGTGAGCACTTTCAGCTCCGATAGTCCCGAAATTGAGACAGGGTCGCGAGAAGGGTGGGCCCTGTGGCGGCTGAGGTGGATGGATACCTGTTTCGGGGACCCTAGTCCTGTGCTCGCCAGTTGGCGCACACTCTCCGCTCGCGGGAACCGCGGGCCGTGGGGGCGGCCGCCGCGAGCATGCGCGCCGGCACTGCGGCTGGCGGGTGTGGAGTCCGGGCGCGGGGACGCGGGGCGGCACGAAGCGGGGCCCTCTGCCGCCCCGCGCGCCCATGTACGCCTTCTACTCGCTGCTTATCTACATCTTCTACAGCCTCTTTCGCAGGGATGGCGGTGCAGCGGCGACCGCCGTCCCCGGGGACCCCGCTCAGGTGAGCAGGGTGGGGACTGCATCGTAGGTCGACCCCCGCCCCCACCCCGAAATCGGGTGGTGGCAAGCCCGTGTCCTTAGGGCGCTGGGACAACTCACGTCTGTCTCCGTCTGGGTATTGGAAATGTAGACCTTGGCCCCAACCTTCTGGCCCAGTTCCAGGAAAGGAGCCCCATAGGCTGCATACCACCTCCTCAGGGCCACCCCCTGCTTTCTTTCTAGAGCGCCCACTGCAAGCCCAGGGGTCGCCGTCGCCCCGACCAACTCTCCCCAGAACTGTGGACTGAGCTGACCGGTCTGGCTGGTACGTTTGACCAGGGCACTGGTGGGGGGGGGGCTGTGGGAACCTGGAGCTCGGGAAGAGGGAGGGGTGTTGCAACCTCATTGGGAGAGAAGAGGTTCAGCCTATGACATGTGACAGGGAGTGCCTCTCCCTCTCATTACCTGGTCTCACAGGCAGGTCTGAGGATGGATCAGAAGAGAGAGCTGAGGGCTCCCCTGCTGAGGTGTCCCTAGAAGAAGCTCTCACGCGCTTGGCTGAGTTCCTCTCGGTCCAGCTAGGAGCAGAAGAGAGCTCTGGGAACCCTCCTCACCTGAGCAAGGTGAGCCTGGGGAGGGGTTCAGCATCCAGCTTCTCCCTAGCCCTTTGGTGCCCAGTTTTGCTCCCCAGTCTTTTTTGCTCTAATTGTTATCTTCTACACAGCCTGCTGATGTCCCTCCATTGCTGACAGTGACAAGTCAGCTCTTGGCTCTTCTGGCATGGATTCGGAGTCCTCAGGGCAGACAGGTCCTCCTGCAAGGGACACAGCCAACCTCAAACCTGCAGCCTCCCATTCCAGATGGTTTGTAAGGGGTACCCTCTGTGGAAGGTGAAGCCCATTAGAACCTGAATATCCTGGAACCCTGAGTCCTAAGCCCAGCTCTGCTCCTGAGAAGGATTCAGGCCAGATACCTTTTCAGTCTAAATTGGGACCATTCCTACTCCTCTCCAGGATCCCTCTTAAAAGAAGAAAACCCTTCACTTGGGCCAGGAGAAGTACTAAGAGTAGAGGCCCAGGGTCAGCAGGCTTCCCAGTTGGAGGAGGAACAGAAGGCTTGGCAGAGACTGGAGCAGCTCATTCTTGGACAGGTAAGGGGCCCAGGAACAGCAGATAGTAGGGGGTATGAGTGCTAAGAAGGAGTCCCATTCTGTCCCCTGACTCCTGTGCAGCTGGAAGAGCTGAAACAGCAGCTAGAGCAGCAAGAGGAAGAACTGGGTAGACTGCGTCTAGAAGTGGTGAGACTTGGGGTTGGGGTAAAAGGGCTTGGATGCCAGGGAGCTTGCCCACAGGGAACTGGCAGGAGAGCCACTGTGCTCTCAGGTGGGTCCTGAGGGTACATTTTTTTTTTTTGGCTAGGGAGCGACAGACTCTGAGAAAAGGGTTCAGCATCTCACACTGGAGAATGAGGCCCTGAAACAGAGTCTAAATCTCACTCGGGAGCTTCTTCTGCACTGGGGTCCCAGCCCCTCCATCAGAGCCCCACAGGTACCCTGCTCCTTGGCTATGCCTTCCCTGCAGCACGGACTTTTATTTTTGTTACTGGGAATTGAACTCAAGACCTCACACTTGTCAGGCAGGTGCTGTGCCAGTGAGCTATATCACTGGCCCCTAGCACAAACTCTTGCATACTCAACATCTAGCCACATTGTCCAAACCTCCTAGGACGTCGTGCTTTGAGAAGCAGGGAACCATCTCTGACTATGGACAGGCCCTAGGATGGTCTGTTTAGGGCAGACTCCTGGGGAAGTCTCTCTGAATGCCTGACCTCAGGAGAGTAGAGGGACTAGGAAAGAATCTTCCATGGAGTGTGGAAGCACAGATTCAGTGGTGCCTGTCTCTGTCTCTGTCTGTGTCCTCTCATTTTGGTCTTTCTGAGATAGGGTCTTGCTATGCAGTTCAGATCTCACTACTGAGCTCACTTTATAGCACAGGCTGGTCACAAGCTCCCAGTGATCCTCCTGCCCCAGCCTACCCAGTGCTGGGATTACAAGCATGTGCCACCACATCCCACTTACCTGCCTGCCACTCCTTTTTTGTTTTTTAACCTGCCAGTCTTGACTTGGCTTTCCCATCTATGAAATGTGAACACAGAATGCCCCTCCTTAAATTCCCAGCTAGCTCCATAAGCCTTCTGGCTTCTACCTTCCTGCAGGAGGAAGCAGAGGCATTGTTAGCACTTCAGGGCCGGCTTCAGGAGGCCCAGGATACCACAGAAGCCCTCCGAGTGCAGGTGGGGTTGGGGCCTGGGATGAGAAAAACTGGGATGTTGGGAGGAGGTATCTGGGACAGGACCTGGTAAGTGCCTGTTTCCTCAGTGACAGGGGTGGGGTTGGGGGGGTGGGGCAGCTGGGGGTGCAGGAGGTGCAGCTGCAGGGCCTTCGAGGGGCCCTTCAGCAGCTCCAGCAGGAGACAGAGCAGAACTGTAGACGGGAACTGCAGCAGGTGCATGGGCAGCTGGCAGGTAAGGACTGGGGAAGGGGGCTCATGGAAGGGCCTAGAGTCTGGGCTTTCCCTCCCAATGACCTTCTCCTTCCAGGATTACGGGCACGAATGGCCAGCCTGCGCCAAGGCTGTGGGGACCTCCGAGGATTGGTCAGCACCTTTACCCAGAGCTGTCAGGGTTCGCTGAGTGAGGCCAGGGGCCAGGTCAGGACCCCTTGCCTTCTAGGACCTCCTCTGTGGGAAGCCTATTCACCGTCCTGGGAGTATTTCTCCTTTCTTGGCTCTGGGGAGCTGTGTATACTAGTGGGTTGGTTGTAGACTCTGGGACCAGAACAACTCCTGGATGGCTGTATGACCTCACTTCTGTTCTCTTCCAAGCTGATAGCTCCTTAGAAACCCAGAGACAGATGAAAGGGTATTCTTGTCTATTCCAGGTCCACTGGATAATGTCCCCAAGGGGCCACCAAAAGGTGTAGACTACCATAATTGGCCATACAATGGCTCCATTTTTTTTCTCAGTACCCCATTTCACTGAGAGCTATTTGGACCCGTCTTCACCTTTATATCCTTGTTCTCTCAGGTATCCTGGGCCCTGGGGGCACTGTCAGCAGGAGGTTCTGGGACTCAGCTCCCTGATGAACATCAGGGGTCCCCAACTGGATGCCAAGGAAGGCTGCTGGAACTCAAGGGTATGGTGAATTTGGAAGGTGGTGCAGTAAGAAGGTCAGGCTGGAGGAAGTGGATCCTTTTGGTGCTTCAGGATCAAGTAGGCAATCTGTCTCATTCCCACTGTAGGAAATATCCGTGTGTTGTGTCGGTTGAGACCAGGGACACCCTCCAGCCTAGTGAGTGTGGAGCCTGGGCCAGGGGGCACCGTTACCACCTGTTATCGAGGGCGCCAGCGTCGCTTCTGCCTAGACTGGGTCTTCCCTCCAGATGCTAGCCAGGAAGAGGTGAGAGGCACCTTTTGTTCAGAATCCCCTGAAATCTGGAAGAAGCTCATTTCCTCCTACCTTGTCTGAAGGACGGAGGGTGACTGAGTTCCAGGCGGGAAGGGAAGGGAGCTCAATCCTCTGTATTCCCCATTTCTGTACTTCCACCTCCATCTAGTCATGGACTTAATCCCACTTTAGCCATCAACCAAGACTCTAAGCAGAGGTGACAGCTACCTAGTCACTAGCAACCTTCTGTCAAGAAAGCTAGCCATGTTGTTCAAAAGGTTGCTGTGTCCCATGTGCCAACCAGATGACTATTTCGGTCCCATCTGCAGCTCAGCCACTTTGCTGAACTTTCAGTGTGGGAATAAAACAATCATGGCTGGTCACTATCCCTTACAACCCTGAATCTACCTTGGGCTCATCCTCTATGTGCCAAGTGCTGTTGTGGCCCTCTAGGACACATTCCCTATTAACCCTCAAGAAGTGTCACAAGGGCCAGGGAGAGATAGCTTGCCTGGCAAATACAAGGTCCTGAGTTCAATCCCCAGTACAAAAAAAAAAAAAAAAAAAAAGTCACAGAGAAAAATGACACAGAAGAGAAGCATAGAAAAGAGTAATTTGCTTCAGTCACACTCTACCTTTGGATCAGATGGTCAAGCCCTACACCTGGCCTCTTGAACTCTGCTACCCAGGGCTCCTAAGTATG